TTGATTACCCTGTAAAATTATTTTTCCATCCTGATTTTACAGAGATGATTTTTACCTTTTTCTTTAATTAAAAGCCTTCTTTTTAAGAACCTGATCGATTTTTCCTTGTTTTTAGATCCAAGGGGGTTGGATCTTGATCCACCAGGAGTTGGTGGGAGGAACGAGGGGGGATGGTTAATTTCTCCTTGTTTTAAGATCCAAGGGGTTTGGATCTGTATTCACCAGGGAATTGGTGAAGGTCTCTCAAGGCTACCCAGGGAAGGGAATTAGCTTTGGGAATGGTGGCAGCGGACCAGATCTAAGCTGGTAGTTAAGCTTAGAAGTTTTCATGCAGGCCCCCACATTTGTACCCTAAAGTTCAGAGTGGGGAAGCAGCCTTGACACAGGTTGTTCAATTAATTACTGTTCACAGATGACTTCAAGGTCCTATTACAAAACAGGGGTAGAGTTTGATTTATTTATTGTGTTCCAGGCAAAAGAACTCTCTGACAAACTGGACCCTTTTGTCCGGTGTCAGAGTAACAGGGATGAAGAGAAAGCCAACATGCGATTCTGGCCACTAATCAAATACGTGGAAGTGACAATTCTGAAGTCTAATGTGATTCCGGAAGGTATCGTGTTTATGGATATTCCCGGGACAGGAGATTACAACAGCAAAAGAGACGAAATGTGGAAAGAGGTGACTCACCAGCTCTGTGATGTGTGGGAGGAAATTCTGATACATTATTTGGCTGGAAAGCATTTAACCATTGGTTCTAATGTAACTATTCCAGTGTAATGAAAGAAGGAAAGCTCTAGAGAGGGCCGTGAGCTCTGGCCTGGGGAAGGCTTTAGTGGAATGAACAGAAGCAGCGTCCACACGTATAGTGAGGGGGCAATCCTGATAGCTAACGGTGCTTCCCAGCTTGGATCCATTGCTGCTCCTGGATTCCTGTAGCATCAAAGCCCCATAGCGCCTTTCTCCATCCGCTCTTCACTAGTGCAGACCCTGCAATGATCAGATGCACCGTTCTCTTCTCTGCACTAGGGCTGTCCCACGGAATGTCTACGCAGCAATTAAACACCCGCAGCTGGCCCGCTTCAGCTGACTCAGGCTCGGGCTCTCGGGCTGTAAAATTGCTGTGTTGATGTTCCGACTTGGGCTGGAGCCTGGGCTCTGGGACCCTCCCTCCTCCACGGGGTCTCAGAGCTCTGGCTCCAGCCCAAGCCCAAATGTCTATACAGCAACTTTACAGACCCACAGCCCAAGTCAGCAGACCCAGGCCAGCCACAGGTGTTTACAGTAGTCGCTGGGTAGAAATACCCCTAGCGGTCAGCTCAGAACCTCCAGCTAGCAGAGTCCTGAGTGGCACAAGGCTGAGGGGTGTGAACTAGGGGCTCAAGTCTGTAAATTGCTGGCACAATCCTGCAGAGACTGAGCACTCTGCACTGCCATTGCAGTCAGTGGGGAATCCAGGGTGCTCGGCGTGTCTCAGGATGGAGCCTGGCTGCCTCTTTGCTTCCAGATATAATCCTCCTTCTTTCTCTCTCTTTCTCCTTAAGAGCATCAATAAATGTTCAGTCATCTGGGTTATCAGCGACATCGAACGAGCTGTGGGGGCCAAAGTCCATGAAGTGCTGCTGAAAGAGAGCATCAAAGCTTACCAAGGCGGGATGTGCAGTGACATCGCTCTGGTGGTCACCAAGTCTGATAAGCTGCAGCTGGAGGAATACCTGAGGTAGTGGAATAGACTGTCCCTGGGCTTCAGGGACTGTGGGAGACCTTCCTTTAGAGATTTACAGTGTGTCTGCCTGTCTTCCTCCTGCAACCCCTCCTTCTAGCTACCACCCAGGGCCGGCTCCAGGCACCAGCAAAGGAAGCAGGTGCCTGGGGCGGCCAATAGAAAGGGGCGGCACATCCGGGTCTGCGGCAGCAATTCAGCAGCGGGTCCTTCAGTCCCTCGCTTCCTCTTCGCTGGCACTTTGGCGGCCGCTCAGTCGGGTTTTTTCTTTTCTTTTTTTTTTTCCTTTTTCTTTGCCGCCGTTTGAGGCGGCAAAAAAGCTGGAGCTGGCCCTGCTACCACCTCATCCATGTTCACCCATCGGCTTCTGAAGCATCTGCCATTTGTTCAGGCTGGTGTTTTCTGACTGCAGTGTCTAACAACAGTACCAGTGGTTCTCAAACGTATTTGATTGTTCCCCACTTCTTTGTGTCTAGTAGTAATTTACGCCCCCCCTTCCACCACACAAGTTCATATACAGATATAAAAATAAACCAACCTGCAACTCACTAAATATTAAAAACAGTGAGGCATTGATTCAGACAGACCCAACGATCCCTTGTAATAAGAACAAAAGCAAAACTGTGGTGACGCTTACAATTAAATGTGCACACTGCGTTGTAGCAAGCGGATTAACGTACAGATGGCAACGACTTCGTCTAATGCTAGGCAAGCTGAACAGAAATCCGCCAAAATGCACAATGCCAGCTCGAGTCAAACGCACAGCACCATCTGAGGGCCTGGTATGTCTGGAGGAATCCGCTTTGCTAGTTATTCATTGCTGGGGGTACAATGTGTGCAGTAAGGTTTTTTTCCTAAAGCATCTTACGTCCCCCCTCCGGAATACATTCCACACCCCTGCAGGAGGGCCCTCCCCCGAGTTTGAGAACCTCTGGTCTAGACAGGATGAAAATGTGGGTATTTGTGTGTGTAACACTGTGCCCCTGGGAGGCTCGGCAGCAGGAACTGAACCTGAGATCTCAGGATTTAAACACATGAGCCTCAACTGCCTGAGCTAAAAGACCTGCTGTGTAAGCCAAGGCTACAGCAAGCTACTCCACCCCCATGGTTCTGTCTGCACGGCCCTCGGGGGTGTGACTGCAGCACATGGAGCCATACCCATGCTGGCTCTGAGCTAGCTAGCTCGGGTGCCAATAGCAGTGAAGCCACTGCAGCGTGGGCTAGCTGCCCAAGTACATACCCAGCTCCCTGGGGGGCTGTATTTGGCACCTAGTCTGTGCCACAGCCTGTGCTGCCCTGGCTTCACTGCTATCGGTACCTGAGCTGTCTAGGTCAAAGCTAGCACAGGTATGTCTGCACATGCTGCAGTGACGTCCCAACTGCAGTGTAGACAATCTACACACTGGGTGTGGCCCAGACACCTCTAGGCGGGGCTTGAGCACAAGACATCCTGGGTGTGGGTTACATTTCTAGATGGTAACTCTCAGTCCTCATCAGGATGGAAATGGCAAAGGTGACAAATAGTCATGTTAAAAAAAGCTAAAAGCCCCTGGTTAAATCGTTTTAGATTAAAACATCCTCTGTTTTGCAATTAAAATAGCTGAAATGTGCCACAGGATTCCCTTTCAGACTAATGTATCAAATCTCTTGCCACCCAGAACTTCACAAATATCACCTGCCCAGGTGCTGTAATCACTCAGAACTTCACAGCAGCAGCAGGGATCGAATTCCGATCCTCTTCTTCCAAAAGCAACACTGAAGCTACAGGAGAATCTCCATTAGCAGGCACTACAGGGCCTATGACCCAGACAACTGGCAGTTCTGATTCCATCCAGTAGTGGCAATGGTACTAGAGAGACACTGTCAAGTTGGGCACAGTAACTGCTCAGTCAGAGTCTCAGGGCCCTGTAACACCCTCCAGCCTTTCCACACATGGAACAAATGGGCCTAACAGCCCAAAAAAGGACTTGGGAAGGCAGTGGGGAAGGGAAATGCAACCAGATGATTTGATCCCGCTCTCACCATCAACCCTTCTGCACCATCCACATGACTGAGAAACAGTGTGTGAACAGGGGGTGTGGCCAGGGAGAAGTCAGGGAACAGTCACTGCTAAAGCAGTGCAAATTCAGTTGCAGTTTCCTGCATAAGTAAATGCTAAAGGACACACTTGCAGCAGGGAGCCGGCTTCATGTCCGAGTTCAAGCAGAGGGACCTGCCTGCAGAGCCAGTGGAACCCTACGAGGACAGTGGGGTGTGACAGCAGAGGGGCTGTCATTTCGCATCCCCACTGGCTGGTGAACAGGGCCCCTGCCCATCTCCTCTGGCGTTTGGTCAATGAGTTGGGCTGTGGTTCTGCAGACACGCCAGGGGCCATCTGCACTTTTGCCCTCTGTCCGGTGGGCTTGGGCGGTGGAGAGATAACGATGCCTTCCCCCCCCCCCCCGCCAGCCTGTGATGGGCTGTTGTTGGCTACAGGGCACAAGTAACCTTCAGTTGATGAGGGTGCTACGGCCGTCGATCCCGCGCCGTCTGGACCCCAGGTAATTCGATCCAAGATACTTCGACTTCAGCTACGCTATTCGCGTAGCTGAAGTTGCGTATCTTGGATCGATCCCGCCCAGTGTAGACCAGCCCTCAGCCTCAGCAAGTGGGAGCCTTGCTGCAGCTCAGCTGTCTGACAGCTCCCTGACACACCCGCTTGTCTGCCTGGCCTGCAACCCCCTCAGGGCTCTGCTGGCCCAAACCCTGCCTAGCGGGTAACAGTCAGTGAATTCCAGCCTCTAATGCACAGCCCCCATCACTGTCCATTCACAGAAGGTATTAAGTTCTCTGCTCCTTTAAAGAGACAGAACCAGCAGCTTCTTAGGTTGACTGGTGTTAACAAATCACTTCAGTTCAATCAATGCACTGGGCTGGTTCAGAGAAAAGTAAAACACGTTTATTTCATGAAAAAGAGGTTTAAAGTGAGTTCAGATATAAGGGATGAAGATAGAAAAGGTTGCAAACGAACACAAATAAAGCCATGCTTCTATGGCCCTGTCTACAGTGACAAGTTTCTGCCCAGTAAAGCAGCTGTCTGCGTTGTAACTCCCGAGGGTACACACTGCCAAGCCACTTACTGCGCAGAAACTGTGCAGTTGCAGCACTGTAAAAAACCCACCCTGCCGAGAGGCGTAGAGCTTTCTGTGCCGGGGGTACAGCGCCGCGGTGCCAGTGTAGACACCCTGGTCGATTACAGCGCTGCAACTGGCCTCCGGGAGGTGTCCCAGAATGCCGGTTCTTGCCTCGCTGGACATCGGTTTGAACTATACTGCTCTGCCCTCAGGTGACCAACCATCAGCCCCACCCCGTAAATTCCTTTGGAAATTTGAAAGTCCCCTTCCTATTTGCTCAGTGACATGTGCAGTGGTCTCAGCACATCTTTCCAGGTGGCCATGCCTGCTCCACATACCAGGCGATCCCCCACTTGGAGCAATGCCGAGCAGCTGGACCACATCAGCATTTGGGGAGAGGAGGCTGTCCAGTCCCAGCTGCGCTCCAGCTGTAGGAATTATGATATCCATGGACAGATTTCACGATACATGATAGAAAGGGGCCATGATCGGGATACACTGCAGTGCAGGGTCAAAGTGAAGGAGCTGCGGAACACCTACCACAAGTCGCGGATGGCAAGTCGCTGCTCTGATGCTGCACCCACGAGCTGCCGTTTCTACAAAGAGCTGGACGCGATACTTGGTGGCGACCCCACCTCCACTGTGAAGACCACTGTGGATACTTCGGTGGCTTGCATGCCAGTCGAGAGTGGACCAAGCCAGGAGGAGGAAATCTAGGAGAGGGAGGGAGACCCAGAGGCAGAGGATGACTCAAAGGTCAGAGATGCATGCTTACCCCGGAGGAGGCTAGCCAATCATAGCAGTCAGATGTTGGCGAAGCACAAACAGGAGAGGAGGCCCCTGGTAAGTGGATTTGATTTGGGGAATCACTGAGGCGAGTTGTTGGGGGCAGGAGGGTGGCAGAAAGCAGGCTTGTGTCTGTATGATGCGTGTACCGCCACATGCCTAGTCTGAGCGGTGGAACAGGGTGTTGATTGACTCCCTCACTTCATGGGAATCTGCCTCAGATCTCCAGGAAACGCTCATGGAGATACTGGGCAATCTGCTGCTGCAGGTTCTTCAGCAGAGCTGCTTTGTTTCTTGCTCATTAACGGTAACTTTCCCGCGCCATTTTGCCATTGCGGGGGGCGGGGGGACCATTGCTGCACACGGGCGAGCCACGTAAGGGCCAGGGCGGAAGCTGCAGTCTTAGAGAAGACCCTCTCTTGATTCCCTGCTCACCCTCAACACCAAGATATCTTCCCTAATGATCACATCCTGTGGAAAATGTGGGGACAGGAATGATTATCAGGCCCCCCTACAGTGCTGGCTCTCCCCAAGAGCCACATGCCCCGTGTACAGTAGGGTCCAGGAACACTGATTTCCCCTGTCCCTGCAGCTACTCACCATTGTGGGGGGCTTGTGGCTCATGTGTGCTTGCCTGCGGTCAGCCAGTTAGTGACAGGCATGTGAATACTGCCTGTGTTTTATATCACTGAATCAGAGTTCTGTGCGTTGCAAACAATACTGCTTCTGTAAAATGTTGTGTTTAAACTGCACATAGATGACCTTGGGAGCCCGGCCTCCCTCTTTGTTATCGTCGGCTGACCGGCTGTGCAAAATTAGAAAGCGGTCACAAAGAACTAAGGAGGACTTTCTGCATGACATGATGCACTCCGCGGCTGAAAAACAGGAATTGAAGGCGTGGCGGGACAGCGAGAAGAGGGACCGAAAGGAGAACACAGCACGCCAGAATGAAGCCACAGAGCGTCTCTTAAATGTTATGGAGCAGCAAGCGGACATGCTCCAAGCGATACTAGCACTGCAAACCGAGCAGCTCCGCACCCGCCCTCTCCTGCAGCCGCTGTCGCAAAACTCTTTCCCATGCCTCCCCCAGACACCGCCAACACTCTGTGATCAACCTGCTGGCTCCAGTCTGTACCCTCGGCATTCCACTCCTTCCTCATCACAGTTCAGCACTGTGGACTCCCAGTACCCACTGCACTCAACACCCATCCCTCTGCAGTTTGGCCCTGCTGTAGTAC